ATGAATGCCAGAAGAAATCTAGTACCCACTCTAAGACGTGTATCTGAAGGCCCAAGAAGCAGCTTCTCTTGGAATGTCCAATATATGTATCCAATTTAACATGTTCTACATAAGAACTCTAGATTCTTTTCCCCTTCACCCTAAACTCTGCTCCTGTTTTCCCAGTTGTTAAAATACAAACCAAGAAGAGGCTTCCTTGATTCTTTGTTTTCCTAACAAACATATATCTAAACACTTAGTATATATTTTCAGCTCTCATTTCAAAATGTATCTGAATCCATCCAATTTACACCACCACCAAACTAAAACACACCCTCTCTCTCTCCTGGATAATTGTCCTAACCTCCTATCTGGTCTGTTTCCTCTGGGCTGCTCCCAAAATGATTCTCCAGCAGCAACCAGTGATCTTCGTTAAATATAATTCAGATCATGCCACTCCTTGCTGTCAACCCTCTAATGTCTTCCCAACACACTCAGAACAAAACCCCAATTCTTTGTCACCAGGCTCAGCAGGAGCTGACCCCAGCCATCCTCTCCAAACTCTTTTACCACTGCCAGCCTTATACCATGCTGGCCTCCTTAACATTCTTTGAATCTACCAAGCTCTTTACCTCAGGACCTTTGCACTTGCCATTTGTTCTACCTGGAGTGCTCTTCCCCAAGATATTCCCATTTCTGTACTTCAGACGTTTCTGTACGTCTGCTCAAATGCCAATTCTTAAGAGTAATCATTCCTAGACACCCCATCAAAAATAGCCTTTCGGGGCTGGAGTTGTCACTCAGGGGTAGAGCACTTGCCTGGCATGTGTGAGGTCCTGGGTTCAATCCTCAGCACCACATATAAATAAATAAAATAAAAAGATCCATTGACAACTAAAAATTTTTTTAAAAAGGGCTGGGGTTGGGCTGGGGATATGGCTTAAGCGGTAGCGTGCTAGCCTGGCATGCGTGCGGCCCGGGTTCGATCCTCAGCACCACATACAAACAAAGATGTTATGTCCGACGATAACTAAAAAATAAATATTAAAAAAAAATTCTCTCTCTCTCTCTATCTTTAAAAAAAAAAAGGGGGCTGGGGTTGTAGCTCAGCGGTAGAGTGCACTCCTAGCACATGCAGGGCTGTGGGTTTGATCCTCAGCACTACATAAATATAATAAATAAAATATTGTGTTCAACTACAACTAAAAAAATAAATATTTAAAAAATAGCCTTTCTTCCATCATTCTGTATTATTTCCATATTTTGCCTTATTTTTCTTCATAGTGCATGAAATTATATGCTTCCTCCAAATACAACAAATAAAATCTGTGTAAAACCTTACTGCTTTATCATCAGCAATTGGAATAGTGCTGTGCATGTAATGAACTGCAACACAACTATTGAGTCTTCAGCTGGATAAAGCCTTCTGATTTCCCATCTACCTTTCTTTCCCCTGCCTTTTTAGTGGGCTTCATTTCCACTGTTGATCCCTCAACCAACCATCTCAAACATTCCTTTGCCGCAATTATCATATGTGCTAAGAATTCCAGAATCCAAACTTCCTCTCTAGCTCAGGCAGGTCCTTCTGAGTTTGAGATATATATCATTCCTTGGGCTTCACATAGGCACCTAAATTCAATTCTACAGGTCCAAACTGAACTCATCATTTGTCTCCCTTGTTCCAGTTTCCACTTTCTGTTCCCCAAGTAATACCTGAGTTATGGATGAGCTCTTGTTCCCCATTTCCCTTCCCTCACCACCAATCTTGACCATGTCTTCAATCTGTCTATTCGGATTATCTAGTGTAACAGTCTCTCAATGTGTATTTTGCACCCCCCACCTCATTTTTTTCAGGAAAAAACTTAGCCTAAATGTAACTCCCTCTAGGAAGCCTTCCCAAACACATAACTCCAAGTCTGGGTTAAGGCCCCCTGACGTGCTCTCAGAGCATCCAGTACTTCTTCATCCACATACTTGTCCCACCTTGATGTAATTGCCTTTAACAAAGGAAGCATACTGTCAGGCATTGTCAGGGTAGGGATCTAGCTCAGTGGTAGAATGCTTACCTAGTATGCACAAGGCACTGTGCATACTAGGTAAGCATTCTTTCTTTCTTTTCTTTTTTTTTTTTTTTTTTTGGTAGCAGGGATTGAACTCAGGCACTCAACCACTGAGCCACATCCCCAGCCCTATTTTGTATTTTATTTAGAGATAGGGTCTCACTGAGTTGCTTAGCGCCTTGCCATTGCTGAGTTAGTGATCCTCGTGCCTTGTCCTCCCGAGCCACAGGGATTACAGACATGTGCCACCATACTCAGCCAAGACACTCTGTTTGATTCCCACTACTGAAAGAGAGAAAGGGGGAGAGAGAGGCTTTCATTCAAATTAGTAAGTATGCCTACCATCTTTTATTTCTTAGAACATTAAAAAAAATGTGTTAAATGAATATCAAATGGGGATATCAGTAATTGAATGTTATTTCCACAAATATACCCAGCACTGTTTTTTATTTTGAGAGAAGAGTCTCACTAAGTTACTGAAGTTGATCTTGAACTTGTGAGCCTCCTGCCTCAGCCTCTCAAGTTGCTGGGATTATAGGTGTGCATCATCAAGCCCAGCATCTATCACCTGATCTGATGAACATTCTTTTAATTTGGAGGTAAAGTAGAATATATTTGGATTACCATTTCAACTGGTTAGTTTGTCTATGTCATCAAGGTAACATACACTTCATAGCAGATTTTTACAACTATTGACATTTACTTCTAAATAAAAATTGCTTTTTCATTTTGAAATTCCACTTCTATAAACTCATCACAAAATATATTTTACAAGTGAGCAAAAATTAAGAACATTCATTAGAGTATCTTTTGTAAGTAGACAATAAGAGACTGGTTCAATAAATTATGGCACATTAACACCAAAGAGTATGAGGTAGCTACTAACAAGAATGAAGAGCCTTTTTCATACTAATGCTAAAGGCTACCCAGAATATCTTGTGAAGTGGAAAACAAACAGGTTATAAAGTATATAGGATGATCACAATTTAGTTTTAGAAAATGTTCATTCATACTTAATGGGGAAAAGGCCAACATTTACTAAAAACTTAACTATTGTCAGGCACTATTTTAAGTGCTTGACATATTAAATAGTATAGGTACTGTTATTATTCCTATTTTACATATGAATTATCAGATGCAAAGAAGCTAAGTTCTTGTCCAAGGTCATTAGTGACTGGCAGAGCTAGTTTCCTGGAAGACAGGCTCCAAAGAATAGAATAACATAGATTGCTAATGCTGGTTGTATCTTAGCAGGTAGGTTTATTTTTATTTTTATTTTTTTTTAATTTTTTTTTCTTTTTAGAGAGAGGAGAGAGAGAGAGAGAAAGAGAATTTTTTTTTAATATTTATTTTTTAGTTCTCGGTGGACACAACATCTTTGTTGGTACGTGGTGCTGAGGATCGAATCCGGGCCGCACGCATGCCAGACAAGCGCGCTACCGCCTGAGCCACATTCCCAGCCCTTAGCAGGTAGGTTTAGATGGGACTTTTGTTCTTATATATTTCTGTAAGGTTTAACTTAAAACAAAAAAACAATAAATTTCAGCTGGGTGCAGTGGTGCACTTCTGTAATCCTGGCAGCTGGGGAGGCTGAGTCAGGAGGATTGTAAATTCAAAGCCAGCCTTAGCAACTTAGCAAGATCCTGTCTCAAAAAAAGGCAGGGTGGGGGTGGTGGTGGGGGCAGGGCGGCTGGGGATGTGGCTCAGTGGTTAAGCATTCCTGAGTTCAATCTTTGGTAACAAAACAAAATAATGTTACCTTTTTGGTATAGGAAAAAAAAAAGGTAAAAAAGGAAAAATTGATTTCCTGTTCACTGGCTAGGCATGGTAGAAGAAAGTGGTTTAGTGAAGACTAGTGTGTAATCTATTGTAGCACTTGCATATGCTAGACCTATTGACATTTTAATTTTTTCTCCTCAATATCTCCAGAGGAGTCTGCAGGAATTCAATTAAAAGTCTGGAAGTCAGGGGATCCTAGGGTTTTGAGATTTATTGACTGCTTTGCTCTAAGTTACAGAAGGAAAAAAGTAACTCAACTAAGGGGTTGAATTTCCACAGTTGGTAAGAGGCAGAGTCCTCTTTGATTCAGTCAGGGCCTCTGGCAGAGGGAAGGCAGCTCCACACAATAGCACTTATTAAAACAATAAAGGCAGTGGAAAGAGCCTGTCACAAATACTTCCATTCCACCAAAAGGACACTTGAATGTAAGCCTAATGTGGCTTCAGGTCCTTGAATGATTTTGTGTTGCTAAGAAAATGACCAATAATAAGATAAAGCAAGTCAGTTCCAGACCCCATTCTTCTGATTTTTTTAAAATCTTTTTTTAGTTGTAGATGGACACAATCAATACCTATGTTTATTTTTATGTGAACCCAGCGCCTCACATGAGTGAGGCAAGTGCTGTACACTGAGCTACAACCCTAACCCCCCATTCCTCTGATTTTAAGGTCTATCTGGCTCCTGCATACCCAGATGTGGTCTCCCTGGTTAGAAAATAATTTGTGTAGGTTTTGTTTTTTAAGTATGTCCCCTAGTTAAAAGATAATTAAAAAAAAAAAAACAGTAACAAATGATTATAAAAAATAAAACAGTAACAACATCAGCATTCTAAGATATGTAGTTTTGAAATTTTGGAACATTTTCTTCTAACAGTCTTATATATGGATATTATATAAATACATATTTTTAAAACTTGAACCACACTCTAGTATTCTATAATTCTATATCATTTTTTCACTTAATATGTAAGGATTTTCTGACAAAAATATTCTTTGAAAAATAATTTTTAGGGGGCTGGGATTGTGGCTCAGTGGTAAAGCGCTCGCCTAGCACACATGAGGCTCTGGGTTCGAGCCTTGGCACCACATAAAAATAAAATAAAAGTTATTGTGTCCACCTACAACTAAAACAAATAATTTTAAAAAAAGAAAAAATAATAATTTTTAATGGCAGCATAATACCTCATCATATTGATATGACAATTTTTATTTAAATAGCTCAAGATCTCTTTAACAGAACTAGAAACAGCAGAACAGGTTCAAGAAAGAGTTCCTTCATTTCCTCTTGTACATTAACTGCAAGAGACTGCAGGATACCGCTAGGGGTCAGTGCAGAGCCATCTTCTTCAACAGAAGCTATTACCATGCAATTCTGCAAGTAGCCTTGATGTAAGAAAACTGGTTACGCAACAATCCATACTAATAAATTCTATCTACTAGGCTAGAGAAAGCCAATTCACATTATTATATTATTATATTATTACATAAGAGTAGGCTTTCTTATACATATTTCTCAGATTAAAAATGATCAGTCTTCCAAATTAATTTATATTTACATTTCCAAAAATAGAGATACTTTATAAACAATGTCTATTAATATAAGACGTGGTGTTAGAACCTGTTCTCACCTGATCTGTGTGAGATCAACTGTGCATAATATACTTGGCTTATTTGATACAATTGTTGGGTATGAAGCAGCATATAAACTCATATAAACTTAAAATTATACTATATTTTAATTATATGTTAATCAGCTGTTCGGATGAGTTATCGCCTACAAAATAAAGAATTCCAGGTAGTAGTTTGACTATGAATAACGAGATACAAGGGCATATAGTTTGACATCATCTTGGATTATTCAGTCAGTTTTCTTCCCCACAGCCATTTCTCTCCGGTTTTCAAGGTCATTGTAAAATTAGTCATCTATTGTTCCTAAAAGCTAAAGTTATGATTTATAGTCAATTTGGTTTTGGTTATTTTCCATCCTTATTTACCTGAGGCTCCTTCAGGAAAATTACTATGAGCTCAGAAATAGCTTAAATAACTTACAAGTAGGTGGATAACAGGGATCCAAAAGGCACTCCAGGCCCAAAACGCTTGACAGGCATTCGTGGTTGGCCTTCCTGGCCCCTCTGAACCCAGAAGTTACTACTAGGAACAAAAGATACCCAGGCTTCTGATTCAGTCTTTCACTCTTCCTTCTGTCTCCATGACCTCTTCGGTTCTTAGGGCCCTATCATTTCACATATGGGGTGGAAAGGAGCTGGGGCTGGTGTCCTAGGTACCTGCAGCACTCAAACTCAGCTTGATGATGGCTTTCTGGGGAGTAGCCCAATCTTCTGACAGGTCTACTCTGACCAATCTCAGGACATACACTGGTCAGGAAAAAGAGGTCCTAGGGAGTCCCTTATCACTGACACCTAATTTTCTACTGGGCTAGAACCTTAAGCTCTCTGGTGACAGAAGGGCACAGAGGCCACATCAAATGAAGATACACGCACAGCACACCCCACTGTTGTGGGCAGCTCCTATAGAGAGTGGTCCTGCATTTTCTCTCTGAGGTCACAAGGTGCCAGGTGAGCAGTCTGTGCTCTAGATAAGGAGAGTTCTTGTACACTGTAGATGTTTGAGAAATAATAGTTACATGAATGAATATCAGTGTTGAGCCATAAGACCAGTATTAGACCACAGAGTGCCTGGATACAATCATATTTCTATGGCCAGTCAAAAAAATAAGCAACAAGCTGGGTATAATGGGGTATGCCTATAATCCCAGATACGCAGGAGGCTGAGGCAGAAGACTCACAAGTTCAAGGCCAAACTGGGCAACTTAGTGAAACCCTGTTTCAAAGTAAAAAGTAAAAGGATTTGGGGGTATAGCTTAGTGGTAAAGCATCCCTGGGTGAAGTCCCCAGTACTACAAAACAACAACAACAAAAATCTGGAATTGAACGACGGAACTAAGCATGGAGTACTGAAATAGTCTATAAGTCCAATACCCAAATGAATGCAGAAAAGCTCAAGAGCCATACAACAGCAATGCAGCAACCAAGATCAACCACTGTCATTATTTAAGAATAAGTTCCAGCTGGGCATGGTTGTGCACATCTGTTATCCCAGTGATTCAGGAGGCTGAGGCAGGAGGATCCCAAGTTCAAGGCTAGCCTGGGCAGCAAGACCCTGACTTAAAAAATAAAAAGGGGCTAGGGACAGAGCTTAGTGGTACAGCACCCTTGATTCAATCCCTAATACCATAAACACACACATAGACGTACCCACACACAAAGAGTAGTTTTCAATATATAGGGCCTTGAGGAGTTTACAATTCCCACAAGGGCCAACTACCTGAGATCACAGTCAGACCAGCTGGCTGATCCCACTCTGCATCCAGGAGGGCTCTGAAATACCAGCAGTGCCAACAAAGCAGTCCCAGGAAAGTATGATTCCCCTGGCTTCAAAGCCATGAGTAATGGCCTTTGACCTCCTAACCTGTTAGGCTTCCCACCTGCTTCAGTCTCAAAGATTGCTGCAGATGCCTGTGCTACAGAATGAGCTGTCCCTTGCTAAGAAGGAGCCCACAAGCACATATGTCCTGGTCATTCAATGTTGTCATAGACATGAATCACATCCTCATAGTTGCCAAGAGCCTGGATGAGATGAGCAGCCTTCTCCAGGTCGGGGTCAGCCAGTTGCACTGTTGAGGTGGGGATGAACTCCAGTGTACAGGACACAGAGCATAAGCCCAGAGAGTCCAGCTTGTTCCTCACTTGATGCAGTGAAGAGGCATCACAAATAAACTAGGGATAAAAGAAAGTCAGAAGGTATTAAAACAAAGCCAGATAGAACTTTGCAAAGTCTCAAGTGGAACTGCTGTACTGTAATATATCATTGGGTTAAATTCAGTTTTCAATATTCTGACTCCTTCTCATCATCCTCAGTAGAGTAGGCCCCTTATCCAGTATTCATTTCATTAATGTTCATACAATATGTGAACTCTTTTCCTCACCTGTACCCTGGGGCACAGGAAGAAACCAAGAGAGGCATATTAAGCCCACCAAAGATAAAGACTTCAAACTAACTTTAAAAAGGTTCTTTTCTTCTTCATCTTCAGTTTCCTTGACATCTTCAGCTCCTGCTTCAATTGCCAGCTCCAGGGCACGCTCTAGGTTCACAGCTTTCTTCTCTCTGTCTTCTACTCCAACCACAACCACCCCCTTTTTGTCAAAAGAATGACGAGCTCCTTCTGTCATCATTCCCCTGAGAAGAAAGGAAATGGGCCAGAGTACATGGATGCCTTTAGACATTCAGCCTCCACAAAGCACAGACTCTAACACCACCTCTTCCTCACTGGGCCTATAGAGCAAACATGGACATGGAGCAGCTCCCTCCCTGAAGAAGATGCAGCTAATGCTAGGTAAGGAATAGTCCAAGAACATCCCCACCCTCTATTTCTGCCCTGATTGGAATCTGGAAGATACAAAGACTTTGCTAATTATTTCCTGGAGTCTTTTTTTTTTTTTTTTTTTTTAAGAGAGAGTGAGAGAGGAGAGAGAGAGAGAGAGAATTTTTTTAATATTTATTTATTATTTTTTTTTAGTTCTTGGCGGACACAACATCTTTGTTGGTATGTGGTGCTGAGGATCGAACCCGGGCCACACGCATGCCAGGCGAGTGTGCTACCGCTTGAGCCACATCCCCAGCCCCCTTTCCTGGAGTCTTAAAGACTCCAGTCCTGGTAAAACATTTAAGACCTGACCATTATATAGCTACAGATGGGATAATGGGACAAAGATCCTGTCTACACAGATGAACATGTCTTTTGGATCCTTCCTAGAACAGAATATATTAAGATCAAATCAATTATGCCAGGGTGGGGTTGTGGCTCAGTGATAGAGTGCTTTCCTAACACATGTGAGGCTCTGGGTTCGATCCTCAACACCACATATAAATGAATAAAATAAAGGTACTGTGTCCACCTACAACTAAAAAAATATTTTAAAAAATTCAATTATGCCAGTGGATTCTAATAAGGAGAAGGTATGCTTATAATTTGAAATACCACAAGAAGTCAACAGTACTTACCTTGCATAGATTAGAACCAGAAGGCTCTGTTCCCTCCCACACTTCTCTCCCCTAGACACACACCTACCCATTCTTGTTCAGGATATGTCGAATGTCTGACTGGCACTTGGAGCTACTGTTAGATAACGCCTCAATGAGCAGAGAAGAGCCACCAGGGCCTCGACCTTCGTACAGCAAATAAATGCCCTTAGTTTTCTGCAATAAATAACACAAACACATTTTCCTGTTTCCCAATTCCCTCCTACATGCCAAGTCCAAACCACAGGCACCACAAAGTTGGCTTCATAAGATGGGCCTCTAGGCTGGAGCCTGGACTCTCAATTCTTTATTTCTGTCCCCACCTTCTCAGAGGAGGCCCTAGGGACCAACTTTTGAGGTAACTGAAAACATCACCCCTTCTCGGAAGGGCGTCTGTTTTGGTTCCCTGGTCCCTTGAATAATCAGCCATCTCTGAATTCTGCTTCCTCCCCTCCCCAGCCAAATCCCACATCTGTCATCCCAAGTCACCCCCACCAGGATTCATCCTCCTACATCCTATTTCACATGAAACCCACCTGTTAAGTCTCAATACTCCTACCCTTGGATCGCTGAATACTGATGCATAAAAATCACACAACAGGGCCTAGTCCTAAGAGCTGGTGAAAATAGCATGGACTCAAAATTCAAACACTCCAGAATGCCAATCACCAAATTCATCTGGACTCCCCACACCTCTTACTTACCCCTGTCTACGCATCCAATCTCTACTACTCTTTTCAAGCACCCTGCCCTGCACCTTTCTGGAACTTTCAACTGATGACTTTTCTTACTCTTTCACAAAGGAAATTCAGGGACCCTGGGTGGAAGAAAATTGTATCTCTGCCTCTGTCTACATAAAGGCACTATGCATAATGTTAGAACATAGTTTCTGGAGTCTGATTCAAGTCTGTCATTTTCTGTTTGAGCTAAGTCCAGTCACCTAAACATTCTGTGCCTCAATTTCCACTTAAGATCATTTTGAGGATTCATTGAGATAATGCATATAGAGTTTTTAGCAAAGTATTTGGCCTGGCATAAACACCCAATAAACACTAGCTATTAAGATGATTACTAGGGCTGGGGATATGGCTCAAGCCGTAGTACACTCGCCTGGGATGCCTGCGGCCTGGGTTCGATCCTCAGCACCACATACAAACAAAGATGTTGTCTCTACCAAAAAACTAAAAAATAAATAAATATTAAAAAAAAATGATTACTAACTCCTTCACATCATTCTTCCTTGTCCCAGAGGAAAAGGTACCCCTCACAAGAGTTCAACATCCCTGCTCCTCCCACCATCACTATCGCTGTCACCTTTTCCCCTTCTACTGGCTTTTCTTCTACAGGGCATAAACATTTGAAAAAGAAAAATAATCCTTCTTCAAACTAATATCAGGGCTTTCCCCATACTGTGCCCATTCTTTCTATCCCATCCCATCACAGCTTGGTTGGGAAGTTCTGGAACACCATCTACTCATCCTGCTCCTGACTGTGCTCCTCCAAACCCCAGAGGCACTTGGGTTGAGAGTGTCTGATAATTTAAGAAGTGTTTGGTAGCCTTCCAAACAGACCCTGTGGGAACTGTGTTCAGTAACAAGAACATTAAACTGAAGACACACCTCCATTTTTAGCGCTGCCTCAATTGTTGATTTGGGCATATGTTTGCTGCGACACACCTCTAGGATATTAGCTAGGTGGCTGTTGCTCTCAGGGTCAGGGCCTCCCTCTGAAATAAAGAAAAAAAGAGTCAGCAAAAATATCTCATTACAGCATGGGAGAAAAAAAGGATTTACAGCCCTACTTCCAGCCAAAACAGTGGCAAGTTACCATTTCATTCATTAAAACAATGTACCCATGCTGAGCACAGTGGACAGGCCTGTAATCCCAGCCGTTGAAGATGCTGAGGTTGGAGGATCAGGAGTTCAAAGCCAGCCTGGGCAACAGTAAGGCACTAAGCAACTCAGGGAGACCCTGTCTCTAAATAAAATACAAAGTAGGGCTGGGGATGTGGCTCAGTGGTCAAGTTCCTGAGTTCAATCCCCAGTACCAAAAACAAACAAACAAAAACCAAAAAACAATGTATCCAGTACCTACATGGAATATAGGAAGTATTTTGGAAAATAAATTTCTAATTCTCTGCGTCTTTGGTTATCATTCTGCTAGGTTTTGGCAAACTCTACTTTTCATTAGATAAAATGGTGAGAGACACTAATGATAACAATATCTCCTAGATTCATTAATACTCCTTGCTCTTATTCTATTACTTTGTGCATAATTACTGAAATGTTCACATGACATTGTAAGTACACGGTCTCTGAGACTAGGGGCTGTATCTCATAATCTTTGTATGATCAGTACCTGTCAGGAAATAAACATTCCATACTGTTAGTTGAACTTAATATCAAGAATTCTTAGCTGGATATGCCAACTCATTCCTGCAATCCCAGTTACTCAGGAGGCTGAGGCAAAGAACTCCAAATTCAAGGCAAATCTGGGCACTTTAGTCAGACCCTGTCTCAAAGTAAAAATTTTAAAAGGGCTGGGGATGTAGCTCAGTGGTGGAGTTCTTGCCTAGCATGTGCAAGGATGTGGGTGATCTCTCAGTACTGAAAAAAAAAAAAATCCAAGAGTGAATGGCTCTTGGTGTTAGCCCTTCAGTAAAACACATACATACATGCACACAGAATTCAGAAGAAAAGGAATCAAAAAGAAATACCAGGCAAGAGTTCTAGAGGCAAATTAACATTAAATGAATGCTTATTATGTTCAGTAAAATACTTAAAAGCAGGCAAAATCCATTTTACAGAAAAGGAAACTAAAACCCAACAAAGTTAAGCCATTTGTGCCAAGTCTTCCTGATTTCAAAGTCTCTGCTTTTTACAGGATTTTTTTTTTCTCTACTCCTATGGGTGTCTGACACTAAAAAGAATACAGACTTTTTAGGGTGGCTACAAAACTGGGAAAATATATGGCTGCAAGCCTACCTTCTAAGAAAATATGTCTCAAGAAACCCTAATGAGGCAAACTGGGGCTTAGGCAAGCAATAGCCTCTGCCACAACCTACATGCTACAAAAAGCAACTGCAGAGGGCTTGGGTTTGAGACATATATCTGACCTGAGGATTTGTTTCTATGGAGCTCCTAGCTACAGACTTGGATGAAGTCACTTTTACTTCTTATCTTTCTTTCTAGGGCAGCTCTCTTTTTAACAAGAAAAAGTGTTTGGAAGAGTGAATGAGGGACATCCAATGTAGACAGGTTCTGAAGGTTAATGAGGTGGGTAACAGTGGTAATTGGGGAAAGAAAAGAAAATGAAGGTCTCGGGATCAGGGTGCACCCTAGCGCAACCCCAGGAGGCAAGCGAGACAATAGGGTCGGAGAGGGCATCGGCGGCCAGAAGGGGCTATCAGGTTCTCACCTTTAACCGCCAGGCGAATGCTCAGACAGAGTTTGGAGAAGATGCGACTCCTTTCTGTATCCTTGGGACCCTTAATGTGCCGGACTTTGGACCATTTGTTGTGCCCGGCGAGGGACCCCGCGGTAAGGTGCAGCTTCTTGCCCGCAACAGGGCCGTAGCCCGGAGGCTCTGGGTGGGAGGCGAACCGAGAAGCCGCAGGGAACCCGGGGCCTCGCGCCCGCAAGCATCGGGCAGCTGTTTTGCTCACGTTGGCGGCAGCCCAAAACGCCATCGGCTCCCACTCTTGGCTGCAACTTCCAACAGCAGCGGCTAAGATGAGCCCGTCCTGTCGGCTGCCGGAACGAGTAGGTTTGGACGCTGAGCTTGCTTCCGCCGGTCACGCCTGCCTGTAGCAGTCTAACGAGGAATGACCCCCGCACTGTCCTCCCGGCAGCCAGATGTGGGGACCCTTGAAGGAGTAGTGCACTTCCTCTCACAAGTCCGTTTCAAAAACAGGTCCCCATGACCCGCAAAGTCCGTTCCGTGGCTTCACTGTACTTGGCTCCTGTTTTGTGGTTCCCAAGAGTGAGTCTGAGGCGTGACCTAGTGTTCAGTCCCTCCGAGTTGCTTGGGGGAGCACCGAACTGTATGTCCCACAATGATTTAATAGGGATACATCTGGTTTATGAAACTGATTTTGCTTCCGAATTCCTTCCTAACACTGAGCCAGTCCAGAATAATAGGTCGTCTGCTGCTGTTGCAGAGAAATATGTCGTTTAATTGCCTCGTTTTAAGGTAAGAAAGCCGCCCTCAGAGAAGTGAGTTATCTAGACCTTTACTCTCTGACTCATTTACATTTACTCTCTGGCTATAAACAAGGATACCAACTTTACCAACGTAGAAGAGTTCAAAACACAACACAAGCCCTTTGAGCTTTAAAGTAATAAATAATATAAATGACAGCAGTGATCGTAGTCATTAAGCTCCTAAACACAAGAGGTTCATTAGGGCACCTTCAGATGAGCCACCCGCTTTTGGAGGAGAGGAGCCTTTTGTAGTCAAACTCTCTGCTTTAATTTCTGCCCTGTGGCTGAGTTCAAACTTTGGCTGTTTCATTTACTAGTGCAACCTGGGGCAAATTCCTTTACTTTTCACTTCCTTAGATATAAAATCTAAGATTAAGGTAGAATAGAAGAAATAAAAATGTATAGGCAGAAAGGAGACATAAAGATAAAAGAAATTCTGCATAATATTTCAGGCCAGTCACTCCCTAAGCCAGTGTCTCCTAGGCCAGTCACCCACGAATTCCTGTGAAATCTGTAATTCTACCTTTGCACTGTTGTTAATCAACACCCCCCCCCAATAAATATGTTAAATAAAGAGAGATGTAATATTTTGAGAAACCTATAATTTAAGGGACTTTCCAGAGCTATTGATCAGACAATCAAGAACACATCGCCTAAGGATCCTGAGATTGCCCAGACCCACCATAAACTGTCGAGATCACTAGACAGATATCTTTCTCATACCTCCTCTCAGCAAGTTTCTTTTAAAAGAAGAGCCAGAGCCTGGCACAGTGGCACAATTGGTAATTCTAGTGACTTGAGATGCCAGGTTTCTGTTCTCGCGACTAAAAGGCTCAGAGGTCACTCTAGTTAAACTGGGCTAACTGGGCTGCACGAAATAACCACACAAGAGACACAAATACCTTTTTCTTTGGGGTCGCTGTGACGGCTCTTCTGACCTTAAGGGTCTGCAGAAAGAGAGAGAGAGAGAGCATGTGCTGACCCCTTTTATTGAGGAGAAGCTATTCAAATAAGGCAAGGGGTCAGGTTTCAGGGGGCTGAGTCTATCTTCATGATGTCCACTGTCAGCAGGTTGACTGACACCTGGGTAGGCCATACCCAAGGGCACAGTAAGAGGAGGGGACACACACAAGGCACTTCCATGGAAGATTCTATCCTAAACAGGGCAAGGGGTTATATTACAAAGGAACAGGTGAGCATAGCTTCACCCATGGGGCTGTAGCAAGACACACCCATTTCTGTGACTGAGCGCCTCAGCACCCAGCTGGGGAGTGTAACTCAGTTACCCATAAGGTTGGCCTCCCACATTGAGAGGCTGAGGCAGGAGAATTGCAAGTTTGAGGACAGCCTAAGCAACTTTGTGAGACTCTGACTCAAAAACAAAATATATAGGGCTGGGGATGTAGCTCAGTGGTAAAGCACCCCTAGATTCAATCCCCAGTATCTAAATAAAGAGCCAGAATTTCCAAACCACATCTCTCATTCTCAAGATGGCCTGTATTCTCACTTGAATGTGTATTCCTTGCTTTACCCCCAAAAGCATCTATCTTGAGATTGTCAGCATTCTCCCTGAACACATATCTACCTTCCTAAATAACAGGAAGTAGACCTCTGTTTATGCCTCTGACTGATACACACTTGAAATTCTTTTCCATCATTTAAGGAAAAGATCTTGCTAGTACTGAGTCAAATCCCTCCTTCCCTTTGGGATCTCCTAGGATCCTTCTCCAGAGACACCTATTCTCCAGTGTCAGGATAATGGGATAATAGATGTAAAGCACACAGACATAGATTTATTATTATTATTAATTATTATATTTTATTTGTTATGTATTATTATTTTATTTGTATATTTTTATTATATTTGTTAATATTTATCATTTTATTTTATTACATAAGGACCTCCCTAATCCAGCTACTCATTTTGCAGTCTCATGTCCTGATGCTGCACTCCAGTGTGAGGAAAGAGTTCACTGTATCCTTCCTCAGCTCCCACCACCTGATCCTTTCACTGGAATTACAGTGGTACACCACTATGCTCAGGTCTGAGTACAAAATCTTATCACCTCTTTGCTTCTCTGTTTAAAATGCCTTCGTTGTCTCATTGATGAAATCTTTATCATCTCCCAATTTGGCTATCACCTTCTCAGTGATCCTTCTTATGGAACTTCTTCAAAATTTTAGCTGTAATTTTTTTCTTGTGGTGCTAGAGACTAAACCTAGGTCCTTGTAGCATGCTAGGCAAGTGCTCTGCCACGGAGCTACATCCTTAGCCCTTTAACTGTAATTAATAGTTCACTTAGGAATGTGTGTGTATGTGTGTGTGCGTGTGTGCGTGCGTGTGTGTTTGTGTGTGGTGCTAGAAGTGCCAGGATCTTGAGCATGCTAGGCAAGCACTCTATCATTGAGCTATACCCCCAGTCTTTTTAAAATTTTGATACAGGGTCTTGCTAAGTTGCCTAGGCTGGCCTAAAACTTGTGATCCTTCTGTCTCAGCCTCCTGAGTAGTTGCAGATACAGGTGTGCACTAATGTGCTCAGCAAATTTAATTTTTTAAAAAATCCAGGCTTCTTAGTGATGAACGCAGGCAGGCATCCTCTTCCTTGCAGATTAGCAACACCATATTGCTCTTAATACTTCTCCCAATTCCTTTTAAGCACAGACCTATGTCTTTTTTTAAAAAAAATGCTTTGTCCTTAGCACAATTTTATTTAATTTTTGGTGGTGCTAGGGATTGAACCCAGGGTCTTGTGCATGCTAGGCAAGCACTCTACCAATTGAGCTATATCCCCAGCCCCCAGACCTATGTCTTTGCTGGGCTCTATTATACTTCACTTTACCTGGTTAGTTTTCATTCTTCCTTCAGTGTGTAGCTCAGGTTGTCAGGCTTGATGGTGCATGTCTATAATCTCAGTGACACAGGATGGTGAGGCAGGAGGATCACATGTTTGAGGCCAGCCTCAGCAACTTAGCAAGGCCCTAAGCAATTTAAACCTGATTTCAAAAATTAAAAACAAAAGTGGGGGCTAAGGATGTGGCTTAGTGGTAAAGCATCCCTGATTCAATCCCCCCCCCCGCAAAAAACAAAAGATTCTACTCAAGCATTATTTCCTATCTTAAGATCAATATCTACAAACTCTCAGGTTGGGCTGAGGTGCCCTACTCTGCCCTCATATAACCCTTCAAGCATGCTTGTATTTTGGTACTTACCTTTTTTATATCAAAATGCTTATGTCTCTCCATTATGATACTATTCCTGTGCCCATAGTAGGTTTTGAAAAAAAATGACTTTATTAATACATCCCACATGTAATACAGGCCATCAACTTAAAAGTAAACAATGATTTTTGGTATATTTACAGAGTTGTGTAGCCATCACCATAATCAATTTTACATTTTCATCATTCTCAAAAGAAACACTATATCCATTAGCAGTCACTACCATTTCTTCCCAATTTTCACTGCCTGAGGCAATAGCTTCTGTCTCTGTAGATTTGCCTCTGTTGGACGTTTCATACAAATGAGATCATACACTATGTGATCCTTTGTGATTCACTACTTTTTTGCTTAACATGTTTTCAGGGTTCAGTTATGTTGTAGCACATCAGTATTTCATTCCTTTTATTGTCAAACAATATTCCATTATATGAACATACCACATTTTATTTATCTACGTTTCCACATTCTATTATGAATAATGATGCTATGAATATGTGAATATGTGTAAACTTGGGAACTTCACTTCTCTTGGGAATATATCTGAGTGGAATTTCTGGGTCAGGTCACAATTCCCTTTTTGAGGGACAGCCAGACTGCTTTGCAGAGTGGTTGCATTACTTTATATTTTCACCAGCAAGGTATGAGGGTTCAGTTTCTCACACCCTCACTAAATTTATCTTTTTGTAATTGTTACCATCTGAGGGGTGTGATGTGTTCTCATTGATTTGATTATACTTCCCTTTTGAGTAATAATGTTGAACATCTTTTTATTCATGTTACGTTTTATAATTAAATGTAGTTATGATGTTACCTTAGTAGCAAAGTGCAAATTAATAGAATTCATATTCACAAATAAGTGCAGAAATCAAAAAGGTTGCAACTGTTCTTGTATCATCACCAGCCCTCCAGGGGCAAACCTGTCATCCAACAGTCAAGCTGTTGCTCACTGCAGTAGGGGGAGAGTACACACCAGAGGAATGGTGGGAGGATGGTATCTTGTCAAGTAAAGGATATGACAGTTACTATAGGATTATGGGGAAGGTGGAGATTTAGCCAACTTTAAGTGAAACAGTTTGACAGGCTCAAAGGAACACAGAGTATGCAAAAATCTGTTGACATCTGCTTGGACTGCAGAGGGCCCAAGGCATCAGTCTCCTCAGCAGATATAAAGTTAAGATAAATTTAAAGTTGTGTTCACAAACCTCTGCCTGGAAGCCCTATACCTGGGTTGGAAATCAAGGCTATGCTCCTTTCTGTCAAAGTGACA